CGCCTGGACTCCCTTGTGATGAGACGGACATGGCCCCCAGCATTCTTCACCTTGTCCATTGAGGCTGCAGCAACATCCTCTTTGGTTATGTATCTAAAACAAGGACACATTAAAGAGATTCCCAGTCTTTCATATACGAGTTTCTCTATTTCATATTCACGTTGCTCCTTGCAAAAGCAATAGAAGAAAAAAACACAATTCTATTCATTGTGCTAATATTAAAGTTAGAAAATGGAATTTTCTATCTTTACATTGGTATCCATTATGTGCAAAATACATCTCTTTGTTCCAAATTAGTTTTCTCATGATTTATTTTTCTAAGAAATTCAAGAGTCACTCAATATCCTTTGGACCAATTTTCATTGAGGAGAAAAAAGGAGTGGGTGTAACAATAAGAAATGATCAAAGACATGCACAACTGACAGCCTTAAGGAAACTGCTCACCAAGCTGCACAGAAAATCTCTAACTGCATTTTCACCTCCCTCTTGGCCTTCCCTTCAAGGCTTCTCCAAATTACCTTCGTCAGTTATAACAGTGCATCAGTGTATTTGGGTAAAGTGTTTCTCTTGTCAGTTAACCAGGTTCAATCACATCTTCTATAATGTCAAGGTTGTTCCCATTATTATTAGTCTATACAGGGTTTATGGAACCTTTCACTGAAATAAAGCCACTCTTGATGTGGGATTCAGAACCTATTACACAACACTAACAAATTAGGGACTGGAAGTAAAGAGGAAAGTTATTTCAATTAAAGGTGATGGGGGAATTTAAGTAGGTGAAATACAATTACCCAATTAATTCCTTCTAATTAACTGGCCTATTTCTCTGGTAGTTTACACCTATTGTAGCTTTTTTTTTGGAATTAGTTTAAGTATGAATTTCTTCATGTTTTTGAGTACTTCTTCATTTGGTAGCTTGACAATAAACTTAAACTCCAATCACAATGGACTTGTGCAATTGTAGGTAAAATTTTAAAAATTTGCTTCCATGTTATTAAGGTAGATTTAATAATAAACAGGTTGCCTTCTTTTTATAAACTATTTTATTAACTTTTGATTAGGCAATATATACACATGGCTCCAAATTCAAAAGGCAAACAACAATGTACATGGTGAAGTGTAAGTTTCCTTCCCATTCCCAACTTTCTTTTGCTCTTCCCCAGAAGCTACCTCTGTTGCCAGTTTTTTATACATCCTTTTAGAAATAGTTTATTTTTTCTGAGTATAGGGGTATACCTTTTATTTATTTTTGCATTTGTATTGACATATAATTCACATGCCACAAAATTCACCAATTTAAACTTTATAATTCAGTGCATTTTAATATATTCACAGGGTCATGCAACCATCACCACTAATTCCAGTACACTTTCATCAACCTCAAAAATAATCTGTACCCATTAGCAGTCACTCCCATTACACTTTTTCGAAATAAATGATAGCATAGCATATATACTAATCTTCACCTTGCTCTTTTACCTAAACATACATCTCAGAGATCTTTCCATATTAGGATACTCAGAGTTTCCCTATTCTTTTTAGTGGTTCCATGTTATTCCATTATTTGGATAAACCATATAATATATCTAACCAGTCTCTGATTAATGGACATTTAGGTTATTTCCAGTCTTTGCTATAAGAAATGATGCTGTAATAGATATCCTTATACATGATATTTCCTACACATTAAGTATATGCAGAATAATTCTCCATAAGTAGAATTCCTGGGTCAAAGGTCTTGGGTGCTTTAAATGTAGGTGGATTTTGACAAATTCCTCTCCTTTAAGGTTGCATTAGTATACTTGTCCACTAGCAATGGGTGAGAGTACCTATTTCTTCACATTTTCAGTAGCATAATGCCATTTAAAAAAATCTCTGCTAATAGTGATAGGTATCTCATAATAAATTTAAATTTGCATTTCTCCTCTTAAGGGTGAATATCTTTTCATATGTTTGCATTTCCATTTGTGTTTTTCTTGAAGCAAACAAAACCAAAATCATAGTGAACATTTTAGAGTTCTTCAATTTGTCGTTTTATTTCCTAAACTTCCTCCTATCCACCTCCCCCAACAATTTCTTCAACCATTTTATTTCCTTGAAAAAAGCACTTTGCTAAAGTATTTCTGTAGGTCCTCAATGAACTCAAAAGCTCCCTAGCTTTGAGGGGCAATGGGATATTAAGCCTTGCCTCAGGTATTAGACAACGTTTAAAAGCTTAGAAACCTAATTCAGTAACTTTAAAAGATGCTGAGAAATCTAGTCAGAGATTTAGAAACTAAAAATAACCTCTTGCTTTCCTAAAAGAGGTTTAAGCATAAATTTCTGGCAACCACAAGAAACAGATCAATCAGTTCCAAAGAAAGAAGTTGACAACTTTCAAACCTAGTTGCAAGTTGCCAATATTTAATTTTCCATTAAGGTTTGCTAGGAAGTTCACGTAAGTATACTGACTCTCAAAAGGATTATGGTAAATCCCGTGGATAGGGAAGGGAATGGAAGATGGCAATTTTTGTGAGATGAGTGTGTGTTGGAAAGTGGCACACATCAATGAACACAATCTTGGGGTCTGGGTTGCTGACCTGCTTTGGAGATCAGTTATGGCTAGCGATTAAATAGTTGGCATCCTAACATGACAGGGCTCCTCCAACTGAGTTAGGCCTGCCTCTGAGAAATGTAACTCAGTCAGTAACCAAAACAGTGGCTGGTGATCGTGGCTCCCATTCAAATTGAAGAGTGAGCTACTCAAAAGCTGGCTGCAAGCTCTGAGCTTGGATGGGGCCTCCAAACTGGCAGACATCACTGGAGGATAATCTGGTTGGTGACCTTGCCATTCCTTTTGGGGGAATCCTCAAAGTCACTGTCAGTATACTTTTTTTTTTTTTGAAGCCATTCAATTTTTAAAATTTTTTAATTTTTAATTATTATGGGTACATAATAGCTATATATATTTATAGGGTACATTCAATATTTTTAAGAGAGAAATCCTATAACCTCCTGCCCAGGAAGTAAAATGTGGCTGCTGTCATTCTGAAAGCTGAGCAAAAAAAGAGGTCTGGGGAGTTTCAGTTTTCAGCATGATGCCTCTCCCTTTATCTCCACTGAGCCTGATGTTTCCAAGTCTGGAGGCTCTTTGGTTCAGTTTCTCTAGAAAGGAAACTGACAGGACAGTGGGAGGGAAAGGGATCCACTGTCCAACTTGTCCTTACACAGACTTCCAGTCAATGCTGTTGTTCAGCCCCATCTTTCACACCTGCTTTCAGAGATACATGGTTACTCCAAAACACTGACACTTACTGGGGTTCTACAGCAAGAATTAGGGTGCTCCCTGATAGCATCTCCCCTCTGCACGTATATAGATTTCAGTTTGTGGTTCTGCTAAGT